CCGTATATTGAGACTTTGTGTGTGTGCTTATAATAGTGTAATCTTTCTGTAAAAATACGTATCAACACCAAACTCCACTGACGTCAATGGAAAGTCGTACCCAATTAATGCCTATCATTTATTTCTAACTAAAGGATCCAGAGGGAATCTGTTTGACAAACGGCAAAATAAAATTTTGTTTTTAGAACGCAAATCGAGCATTTAATTTCATTATTCTTTTTGTTGTGTATAAAAGTCTATCGATTCTTTATACACATTAAAGATAAATATCGACATTAACTTTGATATAGTTGAGTCAATCCCTAGCGTAAATGTAAAATATTTTGTTTAAAAATGAGTTCACCAAAATCATACAAATTATCAACAAAGTGACTTTTTTCTTTGCAAAATATCAAAATTAATAAAATAATTGAAAATATTATATATTTTAAACAGTATATAACATAAATTTGAAGCAAAAATAGACGTGTCTTATTATTGACGAAGTCTTGCGAAATGACCTGTGAAATGAGCAACCATCAGGATTACTTCTATTGTTGATACCACAGTGACATGTCATGACGGAACATGAAACCATTTTGGAAAACTATAAATTATACAAATTAAAACTATTATAATCTAAAAACACACAAAATATCTACAAGCTTATTTCTTGCGCGCCAAATTGCGCCGACCTGTCATTCAAAATCGGGTACAGAGTCATGAGATTTGTTATCCTTTTCTATATTGAATTTTTGCCATAAGGAATTTTCTTCTCTCTTGCACACTATGTTGGTCTATACGCCAGTATATCCTAAGTCTATGGTCGATATTATAGATATTTGTACAACTATTATTTCTATAGTGGAATATGCCCTCTCCATAGGTATATATCTCTATGAGTTGAATGGTGTATTCGAATCCACCTTTTTAGTTCGCTGTCCGGTCCGCACCCTAACTAAACTGTATTCTATGTCATTCGTTTCAGAGGAGGTAGCAATGAAAATTTTTATAGGAAACAAGTATATGGGACTACTATACGCTTAGCCTGAATGAGGAAAAGAGGGCCACACAAATAAAACACTTTAACTTCTAGAAGAGAGTTATGCTGCGCTTCACCCCCATTAACGTCATTTAACCCCACCTTGCGGCCGATTCCGCCATTTATTGTTTCGGATTTGCTGTTATAAAAAGCCGTTTGATATTTCTTAATTTAAAAATTTTGTGAACTTTTAAACAGTTTATAGTGAATTTTCTAATTCATTATAAAGTACGAAGATGACTAAGTGTTGTGTAAGAGGCTGTGCCTCAAAATATAGTCCAAAATCACGCGAGATATCATTTCATATGTGAGTGATTTAGTTTTTGCTGTAAATATAATGTAAAAACGTTTATATCTTTTGCGACAGTAAGTAGATGGATGTAATTATTTACCCTAAACCTTTAATTCATATTATTTAATTACTTCTTATCATTCTTTACGTATCTATAAAATTTTGTTGTTCGTAAATAGTGATGTTACATTGCTAACAATACATTCTTTCAAGGACACACTTTATTAAGGTTTTTCTTGATTGATTCTGTCGTATTATGTGAAAAAGTTTTACATTATGCATTGCATTATTTCGGTGTCATGGGTCTACGGGACATGGGACGGTCTATGGGACAGTGAGCATAAATTATTAACTAAATTATACGGAAACGGAGTTACATTCATGTTAGGTAGGACCTACGGTACCTACATAATGCCTGTAAGCAATCTCTCTGTGGAAGCAAACATGCAAATACCTCAGAGACTATGGACATTATTACTTGACTTTATTATATACTGTTTAGTTATATGTTGTATATATTAGCCCATCCGTGCCTTCTAATAATGCAATATACATAAATGTTAAGCATATTTTTATCTATAATTTACCTTAAGTCACCTTTCATAACAACCATGGTGTTGTTTAATTTGTAATATTATTTGCAGCTTCATAGATCTAAATCATTATTTTCTGTTCTATCATTTTTAGGTTGCCAAAGAAGAAAGTAGTTTAATAACGTAACTATAATAATAGTTAAATAATTAATAATTAAATAATTATTATAATAATAGTAACTATAATACTATAATAATAATAATAACGTAATAAAAAATTTAAAAGTTGATTGACTTCACATCACTAAAAAATGGGTGGAGCTTACAGCGTCCGCCATTTATTGTTTCAATTTGACACGATTTTTTGTAGGCTTGATATCTCCTCTATTTTTTTCTATGCTCAAAGATAGTAACTGCTGACATCTGTCGAGGAGTTTTGGCGGGAACTTGACCGGCGGCGGTTTGCTGCTCCTGTATTATTGTTTAAATAACGGTTTGAAGTGGACTTTGATATGTTAAAGTGGTACGATTTTGTGTATTAAGTGTCTGCGCATGTAAACTATTAGTGGAAACTGTGAAACAAGTGCTCTGATGGTGATATGATTCTCAAAATAAGGTGTCTGTCTGCTTAGGCACCTTGAGATACCATCGCCAACCGTCAGCTGTCTGCTGGCACAAGTTGTAAAGCCAGTTATTTAAGAAGAAGACATTAAGCATGGGCGTTTTCAGATTTTGACTGCAACGGTTACATAACTGATATTTAGTTTTCATATCGTTATTGAAAACCGTTTTCAAATATCGATATCAGTATAATGGTTTACAACCGGTACATAACCTAAAATCAGGGGTATGAAAGTCCTCAGTAGCTTGCTTTACGTTGATACTAGTGCCATCTCACAGTAAAAGTACTACTTTTCCCGATATTTTTACATAATCTATTAAAAGATGGCGCCACTGTGGGTATTTATTATTTATACCGAAGCCTAAATCATGCTAGCAAAGTTTTGAAATTCGTCTGTATATAAGCAATTCACACCATGGTTTTCTCAAACAAACATAATAAATATTTACATAAATCAAGAAACAAATTAGTTAATATTTAAATTAAATAAATTAAATTGATTTCCTTTTAATTTTATTGAAATATGTACGAAATAATACTGAACCTAGGTGATAGCGCCCTCTAGTGTAATTTTCAGTAATTTATAATCCCTACGCCATCTATAAAAGCGCAGAAGAAACTTTCCTCGTTTTGTCACCTTATTATTTTTCAGAGTGGCTCATCTACTGAAAACTGTAGAACGAGTAAATTTATTTTACGAATTATTTCGATTATTTTAGTTGAGAAGTCAGAGGCTCTAACATAATCTTAGATGTAATATTTAGACAATTATGTTAATATATAATTTATGATTGTTATGCAGAAATATAGTATTATAAATGTCTAAAATTACATTCTTTCTATTCTCATTTATGTCTATAATGTTTATACCCATATTTTTTTAAAGTGAGACGTAGGATCAGAGTTTGATTTCGATGTCTATAATTAAATTGTATTCATAAGTAGTAAACATAATTTATATATATATATATATATATATATATATATATATATATATATATATATTTAAAATTATTATAGGTACATAGTTTATTTATTATTATTATATTAATCATCATTGTTTTTTATAATGATTATTTAAGTTGGCGATTTACCTTCATATACTTAACTAGGCTTAGGACTGACAGGAAAGTTTTAAAACAAATGGACAAAATGCAAATAAATATTACAAATAAATGCACAAACGCACCGTCAAAAATTAATAATTTTACAGATAGTTTCATAGTGAACGGCACACGCCACCAATGTCAAATGCGTAATTGCTAATTGTTACTTCGGGTTCCGCGCCTACGTCACAGTGACCGAGTGAAGCCGGCCACAGTTGAGCGCATAGATAATATACTATATAGGGTAGTCGAGCGTGTGCCTGCTGTACTACCGTATGTCAGAGGTGTCACAGACAAGTTTGGCTACATCTTGAAGCGAGCTTCTATTAGAACGTTCTTCAAGCCGCCGAAGAAGATTTGTCAGTTCTTACCATCCGTCAAGTACAATATTCCTCTACAAGATGCAGGAGTGTACAAGCTTGATTGTGAGTGTGGTCTCTCATATATAGTGCAAACAAAACGATCTATAAAAACCCGCGTAAAAGAACACATAGCTGACGTGAAACACCAACGTTCCGGGAAGTCTGCCGTTTGTGATCATATCCTAGACGGCCCCCGTCATTACATTGGATTTGATAAACCACAAATTCTCGCGAAAGAACATCGATTCCTGCCAAGGGCCAAGGATGATACGTGAGGCTATTGAAATTAAAAACATCCTAATTTCAATAGAGAGGGAGGCTGGGTACTACCACCTGCTTGGGATCCTGTAATTCATAAAATTCAAACTAAACCCAAGCATACCACTGCAAGTCTTCAAGACACAGTTAGTTCATTCTGCGTAGATCGGACCAAAATTAATAATTAAAAAAGCTGAAGGTACTCTGGTTTAACACTGATATCGGGACGTCAATCACCTCAGTCTCCTGTGACCACGGTTGCTGGAAAGCAACCGAAACGTCGGGAATATAAAATAAGTTAATTAAACGCTATAAAATCTGTAAAGATAGTTTTATTCAATGTCCTAAAGATCATTTAAATCTGACAACTCTCACAAATACACAAACTTAAAAAATTAGGCAATTTTAACCATTTAAAATTCGACCTTATTGTTAAGAATCTTATAATTATATTTCACTATTTGCACCGTTTTATGATAACAACCAAAACATCGCAATGAAATCCATATTCGCTTCATCTCTTTCATACGTATTTATGATACTGTCGCTAGAACGAGAAAGAAAGAATATCAAAGGACATCGGTTAGTTTTGGTTTTGGGCTGTTTTCGGTTTTTGGCATATCGTTACAGTTTGCGTTTTACGTTTCGTACGTTGGTTAGTTGATTTTTGGTTTTGGTTGGATATGTGATAACGGTTATGTTCTTAGGTTTATCGATATGATATGATATTTGATAACATAACGTTATTAGTTACGTTTTGATATATCGGTCTCATGCCTAGAAGACATCTGTGGACTTCTGTCATCGTCTTGTATTTATTTCAAGTCGTGGTAGAAAAATTTAAGATTATGAAAATGATTTAGTTAGATAATTATGGTACTTTTCAGTCGTAGATGGTCATATAGTCTTAGAATTTATTTTAAATTATGATTTATCTATTAATAATTAGTTTTTTTTAAAGATTTTTTGTCAAGATATTTTAAAAAAGTTTATACAATTTAACCTACACTTTAAGTTTACCTCGTTTTCCGTCTTATGTGAGTATAAGTAAAATACTATCCATAAATACATTATCTAATAAAAGCTATGTCATATAATAAGGATATTTAGTTTTTTGTGTAACAAGTATTTATTTAAAATAACTATACATGTTATGTATTAAGAGAACTATGATTATTTGACAATTAGTTTCTCAAATTAGACGCTAATTTCAATTATTTTGTTTTAGACAGCAAAAATTTTTATGGTTTATAAAAGGTTGATTTCTAGAGCATACAATACCATACAAATTGCATTTGGTGGCAGGAATTTAATTTACACAAATGTTTTATTATCAATGACTATATCTACTGTAGGCGATGTCTTGGAACAAAGTTATGAAATATTTAAGAAAGACTTGCAAACTTATGATTTTAGGAGAACCTCTCAAATGGCTTTGTCTGGATCTACTAGTGGTATTATTTGCCATCATTGGTACAATTTCCTAGATAAAATAATTATTGGCCGATCAATACATAATGTCATTAAAAAACTTCTGTTAGATCAGTTTATATGTTCACCTTTAATAATTGTGTCTTTTTTTGCAACTGTTGCAATTTTTGAGAAGAATCCTTTAGAAAATTTCACAGGGGAAGTTCAAGAAAAATTTTGGTCTTTGTATAAAGCAGAATGGGTGATATGGCCGCCTGCTCAGATTATAAATTTTTATTTCTTGCCTACAAAATACAGAGTTTTATATGACAGCACAATATCTCTAGGATATGATGTTTATACATCTCATGTAAAACATAGAAAGTCATCTGAAATCTAAAGTGTTAAATCTATAAAAAAATATTCCGGTGTTTTGGTTGAATGTTGAAATTTTTTTGCTTCATTTTAATTTTGTGAAGTTTGTTTAAATTATGCTGCAATAAATTGTAAATAAAATTGTATCTGCTTGTTTTAATTTAACTTAAACCTTATTCTTTACAGGTATCATACAATGCAAGCCTTAGGTGTTACTTGGAGGAAAATTGCATCAAATATAAGGGGAACCAGTCCTGTGGCATATTTTAGAAGAGCAGTGAAAGTAGCATTTAGTGATAAATATCTATTATATACAAATGTTACTATATCTATAAGTTTATCATCACTGGGTGACATTATGGAACAGACCTATGAGATCTATACAAAAGAACAAGATGAGTATGACTTTAAAAGAACCATGCATATGGCATTTTCTGGTGCTGCTGTTGGTGTGTTGTGTCACCATTGGTACAAAGTATTAGATAAGGTCATAGTTGGGAAAACTACAGATATGGTAGTTAAAAAACTATTACTTGACCAAATAATTTTTTCACCCATTATGATAGCAACATTTTTTGGAAGTGTTGCTCTGTTTGAAGAAAATCCATTAGAAAATTTCAAAGAAGAATTGAAAGATAAATTTATAACACTGTATAAAGCAGAGTGGACGGTTTGGCCACCAGCACAAATTATAAATTTTTATTTCTTACCAACTAGATTTAGAGTTTTGTATGACAATACAATATCTTTAGGATATGATGTATATACTTCACAAGTGAAACATAGTAAAGACATAAAAAATATACCAAATGAGATGAAACAAAAAGAAATATCTTGACAAATGTCATTCAACCTAGTTAAAATATTGTTTTTATTTAATTTTATAGTTGTTGATTTTCAAAACAATGTACATACTTGATATTTGTATAAATGGCAATACAATTCATAGTTTAAAGTTATCAATAAAAAGCTTCACTGTGATAAAATAAAATTTAATTTATTTAATACTATCTATTAGTCTTGGACTATGGTGCTATAATCAATAAATATTTCTATAATGTATTTTAATATTATTTTTATTTTAAACATTCTACTTAGGAGTAAGAAAAGGCTCTTCTACTGGAGAATTTCTTTTAGATTTAATATTACTGACTACATTTTGGATAATATTTTCATGCAAAATTCTTTCTGGCCAAGACTCAGAATATCTGTTATTTTTTCGACTTCCGAGCAATGATGATACTCTGCTTATTGTTGGTGTACCTTTATGTGAACGAAATGATCTACCTCGGTTTTCTCTTAAACCAAGCAATGATGTGAGCAGTTTATCAAGTGCTTCAATATCATTCACATTTCCACTTTGTATTGTCTGCATTGGTGTATTCATGCCGGAGTTAATCATGCTGGAACACTGAGAGCTTGGAGGATATGGCTGTAGTCCAATAGTGCGTATTACCTGAAACATTGATGTAATGTAAGAACATTTTATTTCAAGCAAAATAGTGGATGTGGTTAGGGTAATATAATGGTGTCCATATGTCCAGAGGTCTTTTCTCCATATAAGTCAGTAAGCAAATGGTCTTTTCTCCATATAAATGCTCACGCCTGTTTTCTTTCTGGTTTATGACCTTAACGAGTTTTTACAGTAAAATAAATATCAACCTATTCTGTGCCCCTGTTTTCCTTTTTGATAATACATTACCTTTATAAGCACTAGAACCCTTACAAAATGCTCAAAGTTTCCTATTTAGACTGCTGTCAACGGAGGCCTAGTGTTCAAATTTGATAACTAATACTGAAAAAAGAATAACATAGGAACACAGTGTATATCCTTCTTATTCAGTTTATGAAATATCTTTTAGGAAATGGTAGAGAACCAAATGTCGAAGTATGCCTTTTTACCATTACGTAACTAACTATGCTATTCTATATCTATGCTATTTACATAGGCTATTCAGTCGGATTTACAGTTGTCGGACGCCGAGCGCTCGCAGAACGACAGCAATAGATTCTTTATATACCTAATTTTCAAGTCTAGGCTTAAGATTTTGTTGAACTTCGACTTTTGATGCCTTTTACTTCTTTTAGCCCAAGGCCAAAGTAACGACAATGAAGTAAGGTGTCCTTCAAAGGTGCAGCTGTACTTCGCTTCGAACATTATATACAGCACTAATCTGGTGGGATATTGAGTATTGCTGCCACTTACGTGCTGGTACTGCAAAGTGCAGATGCCTCAAACTCAAAAATGAGGGTTATCTCCAACCCGTATAGTGTGAAAGGGTACTTGTAGTCCCGACAAAGAGCAAAGATACGAACACCGTCGCGTTATAGTATTGTAAATTTTCTCCGTCGCCGCAGCGGTAGAGCCTCTATCGAATTTCTCCACGACAAGTCATCATTATCATTATAATCATTACAGCCCTTTACAAGTCCACTGCTGAACATAGGCCTTCCACAAGAAATGCTACAAAGCACGGTCCTGAGTCACCTGCATCTACTGTGTGTGGATTACTCTGGTTCTACTTCGGATATCCTCATTTCTGAGTTTATCACGCTGAGAAACCCTGACCGTAGCACTCTCCATAGCTTGCTGAGCGACCTTGAGCTTCCTCATACAGTCAGCTGTGAAGGATCACGTCTCATCCATAAGTCATCACTGGCAATACGCACTGGTTGTACAATCTTGTTTTCAAGTTTTGAGGTATACCTAACGTGACCATACGTCCCGCTTTGGGCGGGACAGTCCCACTTTCAGGCTGTCTGTCCTGCTGTCAGCGCAGGCAAGATTGTCCCGCTTTCGCAAACAGACCTAACTTCATACTTCTACATCTACGAATTTTTTTTTTAATTTATTCAGGACAACAAACAATTACATAATAATGCTTAAACCAAATAACATTTTATAAATAACATTAGTCATTATGTAACCAGCACCGTTATCCACAAAGTAATATTAAATTGGTAACAGTAAATAATAAATGCACAATAAACAGAGTATATGTAAAAAAGGGAAAATAAAATAAAATTGACAGTATTCAGTAACATAAAAATCAAAATGAGACAAAAGGGAAAAAAAAATTGCTAACAGTACAAATTTATCTTGTAAAATATTTTAAGATACTATTGAATGTCTACCAACTTTCTTAGAACGTTCTTGCGAAATTGTATCTGTGATGAGGTGAATAGATCAATATTTGAAAAATGCATGTTATATACTTTCATAATACGTCTTAATGGGGCGCGTTCACCTGCATTGGTTTTACATAGTTTAGGTGCAAACAATTTATGTGTATACACGTCTCTAATGCGTTGAGAACGACTAGGGACACGGATATATATTTTGTTAAGTAATTCACTACAATCTGAATCATTTCGAATTATTTTGAATAATAGTATTACATCAAAGTATATTCTTCTTGCTTTTAAAGTATGAATTGAAAACTTTTTTAATAAGTTGCGATACGATGATTTAGCGTGGTAACATTTGTAATTTATAAAACGAAGAAACTTTGCTTGTAATGATTCTAGAAGTTCACCGTATTTATTATAATAGGGATTCCATACTTGCGTTGCATATTCAATTTGTGGTCTGATAAGTGATTTGAAAAGTAGTAAATAAGATGAGGAGCTTTTAAAAAAATTACACGTTCGTGCAACAATTCCGTACATTTGATACGCTTTATTTGTTACATGGCTGATATTTATGAGCATTAAAGGTTAGATTTGAATCATAAAGGATGCCTAAATCTTTTATTAATGATACTTTTTCTAAGGGACTGTTAAGTAGGGAATATATGTAATTGTAGGTTTTTACGTTTTTGGTGAAAGAAATAGATTTACATTTAGGGATGCTTAATTGCAATTTATTGATTAGACAGTAGTTAGATAACCGGTCAAGATCTTCCTGTAGCTGTAACAGTGGTAGAGCCACGCGCAGCTCTCGCTGTCGCACGGATGGGCCGGCTCGATCCGGGGTGGTACCACGACCTCACAGAATACCAGCGTGAAGTAGAGGTTTACCTCTGCGTTTCGCTTGGTGAGTGCAGGTGGCCGGAGGCCCTTTTTACTGGAAATGAGGTATTCCATCTTAGTCCTCACGGGTGACAACGCATCTGCATTTTGATTCGCAAGCGAGGATAGATGTAGATGTCTATGGGCCGCAGCAACCACTTACCATCAGGTGGACTGTGTGCTCGTATGTCACCCTAATCTTATAAAAAAAAAAAAAAAAAAAAAGCTTCTCACAATCATTAAGGGACTTTACACTTCGATAAACTTTCAGGTCATCTGCATATAACAAAAAATTACTATTTATGAAACAATACTGAATATCATTTATATACAATGTGAAGAGCATCGGACCTAGTATAGATCCCTGTGGTACACCTGAGGATACTAATTTTTCGCTAGAGGAGAATCCGTTAACCACAACTTTTTGGGTCCTATTAATAATGTACGAAGAGAACCACCGCAATAAGTTTCCACATATACCATTGAACGCAAGTTTTTGGAGAAGGATGGAATGATCCACCTTATCAAAGGCTTTACAAAAGTCTGTGTAAACAGTATCAGTTTGTATTCCATTGTCCATATTATCAAACAGAAAGTTTGTATATAAAATAAGATTACTGATGGTCGATCGGTGTTTTACGAAACCATGTTGTTCTGGAATTAGTAAGTTGTGTAAACTCGGATAAATTGAGTTATGTACTAAGCGTTCAAGGACTTTTGATAAGGCAGAAATTAAGGAAATAGGTCTATAATTAGTCACATCAGTTTTAGAACCGTTTTTAAACACTGGGGTTATATTCGCAGATTTCCAGACTGTGGGCACTAAACCTTCACGCAAACTGCGGTTATACAAATAGAACAGAGGTACGCTTATTGAGCTAGCAGTATGTTTGAGGAAAAAAGGTGAGATACCGTCTGGTCCTGAACTTTTAGTTATATCTAAGTTTTTTAGACATTGTTCTATAGTGTTTTTTGAAAATGATATATCTGAGATAATAAAGTTAGTGTTTGATGAGCAAGGAAGTGAATCTATGTCGTACGTCATCAGTGAGCTGTTTTCATAAACTGAAGTAAAATAGTTACAAAAAAATTCACATATGTCCTCAGGATTATCGGTTTCTTTTCCATTGTGAAACATTACGTTGGGAATACCACATAATTTTTATTGTTTACAAAAGACCAAAATACTTTGATGTCTTTCTGCAAACTTGTTTCAATTTTACTTAAATATGAATTAAAGCATTGCGCGGAAAGTTGTTTAAATCTTTTTCGAAGTACAGAGTATTCCTCATAATCTAATTGGTTAGAAAATTTTTTCCACTTTATCCATGATTTTTCTTTATTTTTAAATATGTGTATTAGTGGACGTGTAAACCATATTGGAAACTTTTTAGATTTGATTGGACGTAAAGGTACGTGTTTCCTAATGATTTTATATATCTCCTCATAAAAGTGGTTGGTGGCAGTATCTAAGGACGGCACCTCTAAAATACTTGCCCAGTCTACACGTTTAATATCGTCATTAATATCTGCATATTTACCCTCGGAGAATCGATATTTTGGTAAAGTTTTACGCGCCAATTGTATGTATTCTACGTTAAAAAATATCTCGGCGTTAAGTGGTGGATGGAAGACGTCTATTGGAACTAAAGAGTTTAGTGGTGACTTACAAGTACTTGTATCATTATTTGAAATGAAAAGATCTAAGATGCGATTCTTATTATTTTTAATTAAATTAAATTGTTTGCAACCTACAATTGATAAAAAATTTGAAACGAGCAAAGTCATTGGATTTTTGCAGTAATGTGTATTTGGAGTACATGTATTCCCGTCACACTGCAGCCACTCAATGTGGGGTAGATTAAAGTCCCCGAAAATATATATTTTTGTATTTTCGTTACACATAAGCTCATTTTGGAGAGAGTTAAAAAATAATTGATAAGCAGCTAAAGGTTGATTTGGTGGTATGTAAACACCGCCAACAGCGTGATATTCGTTATGTTGCTTAGAATAAAACTTAAGTATCACATAGTCAATATTTGATGGGACATTTATAATTTCGTCTTCACAGTGAAAAGTGGGCTTTAAAATACATCGAGTGCCATTTAGCCCCCTGCGCACCGCAATCAATACACCTCCACCGTCTGTTTTACCACATAACTCTCGATTTCGATCGCATCGGTAAACTACATAACGCGAATCAATGAATTCACTATCTGCAATATTCGAGGTCAACCACGTTTCCGTGAGAATTATTATATCATAATGTTCCAACAGTATATTATTGAATAAAGTACTCAACTTTGTCCTCAAACCTCTACAATTCTGATAGTATACCTGTATTTTGTAAGCCATCTTCATAAATAGAATACGTTTTAAGAATTACTAGCAATAATTTAAAAAAAGAAATAAATATGAAAAAGTGTAAAATTCTAAATAAAAAACATATGGAACTATATATCGCAAAAATTTGTTCGTGTACAAGATTGTTTAAAAGTAATTTAGTTGGTAATAATTGTATTATGTTATTTGTTAGAAAACGTAAATCGTGAATTGTATTATAATGTAAACACAAAACAGACATTGTGACGGTGACCGCAGAAAAATATATGTGGTAAAAGAATTGTCCCAGTCGTAAACAACACATAGAGTAATGCAACACTAAGAGCTTGCAAATAAATCTTATAAGAAGACGTACCTTGTTCATATTATTTTCAAATTTGTTATGTGGTATCATTATGTTTACTTTTCGATAATTGATGTTGTTATCTTTGTATAGCATAAATAGCAGATGTTTCGCTTGCACAAACCTATTACTAATAACTATTTCACAAGTAAATCCATCATTTGGTATCCTTTGGTTTAATTTTCGATAATATATCTTGTTCCCTTCGTATACGAATTTTTAAGTAGTCGAATTTTTGAAAGAGTTTTGTGATTCAACTGACACAGAGTATCACAAACTGCTGGGCTATAGTAAAACAAGGTGGCTTGCGTTAATGCCAACGCTTGAGAGAGTTCTAAAAATGTTTAAGCCTTTAAAAAGCTATTTTCTAAGTATCGACAAATTCCCAAATATTTTAAAAATGTTTTTCGAAATTCTCAGATCAGAGTTGTGGTTATATTTCTTACACGCACAAGCAGCGACATTTCATGAAGCTGTGTTAAAAATTGAAGGACAAAAACTGTGTTTGTAATAGAGCCTGCGAAGGAGATTAATCGTCTCCAAGATAACCTGGCACTGAGAGCAACTCTATACGTGGTAGAGCCATGCTGCAGCTATATTGGTAGTGTAGTGTTTGCTTATATGTAGTATACAGTAAATATTGTTATTTGTTTTATTTACTAATAATTTACCATGCACAAATACACAAACATACATTTATATATAAGTCACTGTCTCGAGCGCACCGCGTCAGTTACACGAGAGCCTCGGGCGAGAGTGGACGTGTTGTTAGTTAAAGTGCGTGCCGAGCCTGTGTTACACTACAGTGGTTAGAGAAGATAGCAGACATTACAAGTGGCGACGAGGAAAAAGATAAGTACCTATTTAGTATAAAGATATAATCAAAAATAGGTTAGCAATGTGCAACTATTAGTATTGCAATTGTAAATTAATTCCTAGAGTACCCGCGGAAAAAAAACTGTGGATTATGAATTATGATTTATTATTTTTAACCCTGTTCTGATCATTTTAATAATTTATATAAAATATATGTTCGCATTTGACCACGCTTATGGTGTGCTAAAATTTATTTTCTTTATGTAGCAATGATAAAATAATGATTTATTTTAACATATGTCTATTAGCACAATTTTTATATAAAAAGATTTTTGATGGAAAAATAGTAGATGTTACTAAAAACTCCTCTCGATTCGAACCGAAATACAATGTCGTTAGCTAAATTTTAGTGGCATTTAACATGTAGGTGTGATTTATCGCCTTTAATGAAAATACTATTTTACTGCTTTCATGGCATATATGTCTTACAAAAAATCGTGGACACTTCACGACTTCTGTACATTGCAAAGTA